CAGGACTCCTTGGAAACAGTTTGATAGTGCTGTCGAGTCAGTTTCGACTCACAGTGAGTGACCCTGTATAGGGTTTCTGAGGACCAGCTTGTGGGTTTGAACTGCCGACCTTGTGGTTCACAGTCCAGTGCTGATCTTACAGTGCCACACCAGGAGTCCTTGGAAACACTTGTTAAGTGCTGTTGAGTTGGTTTCAACCCATAGTAACCCTGTGTAGGGTTTCTAAGGAGCAGCTGGTGAACTTGACCTAACAAGTTTGCAGTTCAAACAGACTTTAAAGCCCAGCGCATTAGCTCACAGCCTCACACCAGTCCCCTTTTATTTGATGTTCAAATAGGAAATTTCTAAGAATTCCTGTCCTTTTCATGAGCAAGTCACTACGTTAGGTACCATACGACTTCCTTCAACATTGACTTCCTTCAACATTTAAAGGAAATTTTAGCTGTAAAGTGCTTTCATCCATTTTATTATTTCCCAAGAGAATCCTGTGAGGGAGACAAGGTAATTATTCATTTCCTCATTTTACAAATGAGAGCACAAAGGCTGTAGAGGAAATGGATACACCTATCAGGTGGCTTGTCATTGTCACATGACAAGTTTTGTTGTTGTTGTTAAATGTCTTTGAGTAGGTAAGACAAAAGGTACAGTTTGTAGTATAGTGGCATCATATACTTAACAGTTGTTGTTAAGTGCCATCAAGTCGGTTCCGACCCATAGCAACCCTGCATAGGGTTTCCGAGGAGCAGTTGGTGAGCTTGAACTGTCGACCTTGCAGTTCAAACCAACTTTGTAGTACAGCACATTAAACCACAGTTCCACACCAGTAGGACCAGAATATTAACTGAGTGCTCATATTTCTACACTTTGAACTTAGTCTGTTATGAATGGTGTACAGAGAATTGCTGTGTGGCACAACTCCATGGGGAGCTATTACCATCACATTCTAAAGAAAGGAATCTCTTGGAGTTGAATTATACGTGACTATAGGCAGCAGACTTTGTCTTAGTTGTTTAGTGTTGCCCTGTGTGGTGCTGTGGGTTAACGCGTCAGACCGCAAAGCTGTTTGAACTGCAAAGTCGGCGGTTCAAGCTCACCAGCTGCTCCTCGGAAACCCTGTACAGGGTCACTATGGGTCGGAACCAACTCAACGGCACTTAACAACAACAACAACCAAAAAACACCACAGCACAAATGGGTGGCTTTTGTTGTTAAGTGCCATCGAGTCAGTTTGGAGTCATAACAGAGGAGCAGCTGGAAGATTTGAACTGCCAACCTGTGGTTAGCAGTGCGCTTATCCTACAGTGCCACACCAGGGCCCCTGGGGGTAGCTTTGTTAAGTGCTGTGGAGTGAATCCCACTCACAGTGACCCTGTATAGGGTTTCTAAGGAATGGCTAGTGGGTGACATTGGAGAACAGAAATTTATGGCCTCAAAGTTCTGGATGTTAAATGTCCAAATGAAGGTCTCAAGACAGCTGTGTGATTCCTTCTGTGACTTTTGTCCTTTCTGGTGTCTGCTGGCATTTGTTGTTTTCCTTTGCTTGTAACACATTCTTTGTCTCTCCTCTGAGTGTGTGTGTGTCTATGTGCTTTATAAAAAGACACTGGTGGTGTGCCGTGGAGTCAGTTCCGGCAACTCTATAGGATCTTGCATAGGGTTTCTGAGGGTGTACGTATTTGCAGGAGTAGACCGCCTCATCTTTCTCCTGTGGAACGACTAGCAGTTTCAAACTGCTGACTTTAAGGTTAGCAGCCTGACTCATAACCACTATGCTACCAGTGGTTGTGGTGATGTGCTGTGGAGTTGGTTCCAACTCATAGCTACCCTGTATAGTTTCCAAAGCTGTAAATCTTTATGGAAGCAGAAAGCCTCATGTTTCTTTCATGGAATGACCGGTAGTTTTGAACTGCTGACCTTGAGGTTAGCAGCCCAACTTATAACCAATACACTACCAGAGCTCCTTTAAAAAAAAAAGAAAAAAAAAAAGACAATACTTAGAAGGAATGAAGTTTGGGATCTACCAGATAAGAACGCCTCTATTTCCAAACAGGGTCGTATTTACAGGGGTTAGAACTTGCACATCACTTTGGAAAAGCCAATTCAATCCACAACACACTAATCTCTGGGCCATACCACTTCAGTGTCTGCCTTCTGACTTTGAGTTACAAGTATCTGTATCTATTTGCTGGCAGGTTGTTTAGAAGCCAGGGAGAGTTGTCCCATCCACCTGAAGTGCTAAGGACTTACAGCGTCCTTTAGTACTAACGTTACACTGTAGGTACCCACAGTGACTCATAGGACCTGCTGTTATTTATGTGCAACTTATTATTAAGTGTGTAATTTGCTGATGCCATCATATCTGTAAACTTATATGTATTGCTTCTAACTCCCAAAGGCAAATGAAGATCACATTTACGACGACACTGATTTAATAAAAGGCGCTAAAAAATTTAGGAAAAAAAAGTCATTTGACTTATGTCAGAACTGACTTATGATGGAGTTTTGCAACCCTGTTGTAAATTGGAGACTACCTGTATCATCATATTCTTAGAGTAGCGTCTAACCAAAGTCCTAGGTCTTCATGTGTGATGAATCTGAGATGTGTATTCTACACCGTTTTCCAGAGTTACGCCATAGTAATTATGCTCCAACAGCCTACAATGTTAACCAGATTGATCAAAACAAAAACCAATCTCAAGTCCATTGTCAATGTTGACTTATCGACACCCTAAAAGGGCAAAGTAGAACTGACCCATAGGATTTCCAAGGCAGGAAATCTGTAGGAAAGCAGCCACAGCTTTTTCCCTCAGAGTGGCTGGTGAGTACAAACCAGTGGTCTTCCAGTTAGCAGCCAAGCACTTTAACCACCGTGCCACTGGGCTCTTCTAGCCATTCTCCCTTCTCTGTCTCTTACTTCCTGATTCTACTATCCGTGTTGCCTACAGCTTCCAAATAAACTATCTGTACCAGAATCCTGTCTCAGGGTCTGCTTCCAGCACCAAGCCTATATCTAAAAGTGCAATGGTTACCTAAAATACATATTTGGTGTAATAGAGTAATGTTTTAACCATGCATCAAACATATAAAGAGAAGATGCCCTTTCCAAACTTTAAGCCCTTGTCATTAATCTCAGGATATAAGGCAAATGACCTGCATAGGAAATAGAAAACTCTTACATCTGCTATTATATCAAATCTTTATTAAGTAAAGTGCTCAGTATTAACACATTAATGGAATTCTCAATTGTCGAGAAAGGCTTGCATATGTCACATCTTAGTAATAATAATACAGAGGAAATGATAACATGGAATTCTCCATGACGAAAGGGGACAAAGTAAAATTTTACATGAACAATATAATACTAAGTATCATAAAAAGATTTTCTAGTGACCATAATTGATAGATGGCACATGGTCGACACACATGGATACCACATAATAGCTGCACTTCAAATTGAAGTTTGTTTACGTGTAACAACACGATACACACACATACATTTGTACACTCAATATCCCTGGAATGCAAGATTCAGTACCTAGTAATAAAGAACTTTATGTGGCATATTCAAAAGACAGTGAAGATGCAGATAAAGCTATGGGAAAAAATTGTTAAAAAAAAAAAAAAAAAATCCAACGGGTTTCACTAGAAGCCAGCCTAGAAAGGCCTGCTTGCTCATGTTTTTACTGGTTATATTCTATCAGTTAAATGAACAACTTGCAAATTTTAAATACTGCAATCAAAAAAAGGCCTCTCCTCCACTGGTTCATCAACACTGTCTTTTCTCTTGCTTGTCCTATCAGCTCTCAAGAAATCATCACCTTACTCAACTTTTCAGAAAAGTAACATTTTCAATTTTTATTGCTTTTCCTCTCATAAATTCGGCCAGGCATTTCCCCTAATGAAAATCGAATTGCTACAAACTCAGACTTTGGCTGAATTCTGATAATGGATGGACTTTCAATACCAAAACATTCTTTCCATTAAATTCAGTTCCGTTTAGATTATAAACTCTACTTCTGAAATACAAGGTCAAGAATATTTGAGTTCATAACAAAAATTGTAAGACTTTAGTTTAATAATACTTGGATGTGAATTTTAAAATGACCCTTAAAAATTCTTTAAAGGTGAACATATTAGTGGATTTTTGCAAAAACTTTCAATGCATACTAAAAAGTTTAGGAAGTTGATCTTACTATAGTAGTTATGACATTACAACTCTAGCAAATGAGTTGAGCCACATGGGAAAGAGAATAGATGGACAAATCTTTATACCAAATTAAAAGATAAAATAGAAGAAGATATTTGAACATTTTTGAAGAAAAAAACAAACAAACAGTAAACTTTCTAAATTAGGGAAAAAAAAAAAAGAAGTTTGTGAGCTGCTTCTGCTTCTTTCTGCCTTCTAATTAAAGATGACATTTTAACCTGTCATTGATCTTTGGTGATTTCCCTCAGCTTGTTTTATATGCGAGTCAAAGCAATGTAAAAATTAAGTGATAGGGTTAGTTTCTCAGACATTAGATATGGTAAAAAAATAACACAAACGCATGGTATTTGACATTTATCTTAACCTATTCATACAAATTCAAGCATGATTACATACTCATTGTATGGTTTGGAGTTTTTCCAGCTTATCTTTTAGAAAAGTTTACCCCAAGAAGATAGTTGAAAGACAAGGCTACTTTCCTAAAGGCCGGCCATGCTCTAAGCCCATGAGCTAAGTAAGCCTGAGTAGAAAAGGAATGTCCCACTTTCCCTTCAAATATTGGGCAAAAATGACAATACTGATTTCTCTGCTGGGTAATGACACTCAGAAGCCTTTTGGACAGTTGTCTTCTAGCTTTCAAAGGTCACTTCACTATCAACTGAGAAGACTCAGTCATGGTAGCAATTGGGCATACCACTCCATATACATGACAAAGATTCCCCCCACACCCACCCCTGGACTTAATATTTACACCTAGAATACTTAAAAGAAAAAGAAAAAAAAAAGTATCTTCTTTGATCCATGGGCAATGTTTATATAAAATAAATTAAAGTGCAGAAGAATAAACAATGGGTCACAAAGACCAGCATCCTATGGTGGTCAGGGTATATAAATAGTGTACTTGTTGTAACAATTGTTGTTAACAATTGAGGGCTGCCACCTTCCTACATAATAGGAACACACATCCTTACACACGTTCTACATGTGGATACTGGAACTCCCATTTCCACCTCCACCTTCTATGTCTTCTGTGGACTGGGAGGAAGGAGGGCGGGAGCTTCTGGGGCGAGGCTGGCCATTTAGTCCCACAGGCGTGCCCAAACCATGACTTATTTGGGAAGCTGCATCGTCTGATTCCCAGCGTTCCAGCTCCTCCCGCACTAGCCGCTCCATCTGTTCCCTGTGGATTTCACTGTCCCGACCCAATCTTTCATCCTAATAAAGGAAAAAGAAGCCAGCATGTTAGGAGTGGGGTGGAGCATTGTCTTACACACAGAAATTGCCTTGGGAAATCTTGGGGCCAAGTAGTCAGTAATTAGGGAAGGCTAGAAAGTTGCAGCATATAGCAATTCTCAGAATCATCACTGAAGTACATTTTTCACTTAATTCTATCCTCCGGTGAAGCAAGAGAATGAACACTTCCAGATCATCATTGGAGCTGCGATGACCTCAAGCTGTGAAGAAAGACAAACTTCTCTGATTCAGGGCTTAAATACAACTGCTTTGATATTTTATAGCATTAGAAATTGCTTCTCTTTCAGACAAAAACAAAATGCACAGCATCTGAAAATGGGAGAGATTAAATGCCTGTAACGCTATTTTTGTTTTTTTTTTTTAACTCTTATTCAACAATTCAAATTGGAAAGTTTCATGAACCACAAATTGTTAGCAACCAATACTTTGCTAACTGGGTAGCATTTGCAAGTCCAGGCCCACTTACCTCGGCCACACCCTCCAGCAGCCTCCCCAGCACCTCCCTCCTCTTGAGTTTGGCCCGCTCCATGATCTCCAGTTTCACTATCACAGCGTCGATCTTGGACACGATGCTGCCGATGGAGTGCTCCATTCGGTCCACTCGTCTCACCAGGCTGCAGGAAACCACACTTGAGAGGGCAAAGCATCGCAGCATCGTCTTCCCAGCCCAGTTAGCTTTTCAAATGGAACTGCTATCAATTTTCTTTTAAAGCACTGAGCATCTGAAGAGCTTTCTGAGTAGTCTCAAACTCTTAAAATAATACTTTCGTACACTGCTGCTGGCGATGTGAACTGGTATAGATTTCTGCATATCAGCAATGTTGCATCAGGAGTTTTTAAAGGTATGCTTATCTTTGTGCTTAGATACCCATTTTTAGAAAACTTCTGAAAGGAAATCATTAAACATATGTAATTTTTGGCCACAAGGATATTCACTACAAATCCTTGTAGTGAATATCAGTGAAAAATGGCTATAATAAGCAATCAATAAGAGACTATGTAAATAAGTTCTTGTTCCTGTACCTATACAATGAAATTCTAAGGGTACACCAGCAGTGATGTTGTGACAAGATATTTCATGAAATCATATCATGGTTACAACATACTAAGTTAACGTGTGTTAACACTTTTAGAAAAGACACATATGATGCCATCACTTTGAACAAATAAAATGTTATATCAGATAAATACTCTGAAAACATAAAAGCTGGAGACAGTTTCTGGATTGGAGGCATGAGGGAATCTGTGAACTCTTTCCCCATGAAAAACTGTAACTTGTAAAAGTCATTAAAATAAAACATACAACCATTGAAAATTTCTTGAAAAAATTTACGGGCATACAGCAAATGAAGAAGCATTTATTTGGGCACATATTGTACAAGGGAGCTTCAAAAAGTTTGTGGAAATTTTCCATTATCTTTAAATTCCATCTTTCCATGAACTTTTTGAAGCCCCCTCATTGGTCTGCACTTTAATGGAATATCTAGAATAGTCAAGTGTTTAGAGATCAGTTTATTCATGGTTACCATGAATGACTGGGACAAAGCAGGAAGACCCAATGCTCAGGAGACATGGAACTTCTGTTAAAGATGACGAAGAAAAAATCTGGGAACCATTAATGGTGATGGTTGAAGAAGCTGAATGACACGATTAATTTCACTGAAGATAATGCATTTCGCATAGGAAGATTATAGAAATGGCAAATGTTTTATTATATATTCACCACAATAAAAATAAGCAGTTACTCAAGAAAATCTAAATTTCATTTAGAAGAGTGAGAATGTATATAGTAGCCTTTAGAGGCATGGAGAACCACACAGGGCTCTCTCTTCCTCCAGCTTCCCCCTGAGAGCTGCCGTATCAGGAGGAGAGGCAGAAGGCCAGCATTTTTCATCTCCCTCCCCTGTAGCTCCATGTTTCAGGGGCCCTAATTCAGGTAGGAGTGGCTGAGATGTATGGGCTTTCTTCCCCTCCTTAGTCCCAACTCATAAGGTCAAGTTTCCATGCCAGGATGAGCAAACTGAGAAGACCAGAGGCTGCTGCCCGAGTCCAGTGCTCTGTTCATGAAACAGGGGTGTTATTCCAAGAGAAGTCAGTTACTGTCCCTGATCCCAGCTCTGGAGAAGGAGATAGGCAGGCTATTGGAAAAGAACTCCAAGTGAAATGACTATATTTGGAAGGAAGTATGGAAGTCCTGGTGTGGTGCTGTGAATTAATGCGCCAGAGTGCAAAGCCATTTGAACTGCAAGGTGGGTGGTTCAAGCTCATCAGTTGCTCCTTGGAAAACCTGTATAGGGTCGCTATTGGTCGGAACTGACTCGACGGCACTTAACAACAACAGCAAAAGGGAAAGTTGAAGCATAATGGAGCTCTTGAAGACACTGGAAACTGTGGAGGGAAACAGTTAAGAGGTGACTGCTTGTTTCATGAGGTCAACAAGTTAAACCATAGACCAGCTGGTTTACCAGAGAACCAGGGAAAGAGACAGCCAAGAAAAGAGCTTCTGGGGTCAGAATCAACCTCAAAGCCTGGCATCAAAAACAACTGAAATGAGTCAACTCATGAAAGGACTCAGTGTTGTCTGTGGTAGTCACACACTGAACACAAAGATACAAACAAACTCAAAGTAAAAGGATGGAAAGAGATATGTCAGGTAATCAGCAAGCACAGAAAAGCTAGAGTAGCTGTAGAAATAACAGATAAAAAGACTCTGAGACAAAAACTTATTACAGAAACAGGCATTTTATAATGTCAAATGGGTCAATTCATTAGAAAGATGTAACAATTATAAGCATGTATGTACCTGACAGAACTGAACTGGATGGCACTTAACAACAAGAGTATGTACCTAACAACAGAGCCAAAATACATTATGCAAAATCTGAAAGAACTGAAGGGAGAATTAGATAATTTAGTAATAATTGTTGGTGACTTTAGTACTACACTTTCAAAAATGGATAGAACAAGGAGGCAAAAGATCAATAAGGAAATAGAAGAGTTAGGCAACAATATAGACACCAAAAAGACCTAGTAAACATCTACAGAACATTTCACTCAATGATAGCAAAATATATTTTCTCAAGTGCACACAGAACATTGTCCAGAAAAGACTATCTACTATACCATAAAAGCATATAAATCAATGTTGTTGTTAAATGCCATTGAGTTGGTTCCAATTCATAGTGACCCTGTATAGGGTTTCCAAAGAGTGGCTGGTGCACTTGAACCACCAACCATGAGGTTCAAACCAACCTTGCAGTCTAGCATATTAACCCGCAGCGCCACACCAGACTCTATACAAATCAATAAACGCATGTAACTGGAGACAAAACAAAACACATGAAATGAGACAGAAATGAAAATGTTAAAAATGGACATTTTTGGTTGTTGGAAATATGGGAGATTGTTTTCTAATCACTGTATTTTTTATTGTGGCAAAACATACATAACAAAAAATTTGCCATTTTAACCTTGTTTAAGTATATAAGTTAATGCAATTTATTCACAATAATTTGTAATCATCATTTCCAAATTTTTCCATCACAAACAGTAACTGTATACCCATTACACAATTAATCTTCATTTTGTGTGTCCTCAGCCACTGGTAATCTTTAATTTACTTTCTGTCTTTATGAATTTTCCTATTCTAGATATTTCATATAAATGATGTGATGTAGAGGTCCAACTTTTGCCTATGTAAATCCCATTGTTCCAATACCATTTGTTTAAGACACTATTCTTTGCCCATTAAATGCTCTTGGTGCCCTTGCTGAAAATCAATGAGCCAGAAGGAATCTGGAAGATTTTAATTTTTTCATTTTTTTCATATACTACTTTTATAAAAAGGAGCTCTGGTAGCGTAGTGGTTACGAACCGCAAGGTCAGCAGTTTGAAACTACCAGCTGTTCCGCAAGAGAAAGATGAAGCTTTCTGCTCCCGTAAAGATTTACAGCCTCGGAAACCCTGTACAGGGTTGCTATGAGTCAGAACTGACTCCACCGCACATAACCACCACCACCACTACTTTTATAAAGAGTGGTGGAGATTTGAAAAAAGCTTTTTAAAAAGAACTGATGATTTGTAATGGGAAGGTATGACTTGAGAGAGGCAGGGACAATTGCTTGGTCTTATTTGGACGCCTGTCAACCTAAATTCTGCCAAGTGATTTATACTTACACTTGAAACTCCTCATAAGAAACTCCACTGGAGATGCTTCCTCTCCTTCTGGAACTATGGCCACTGTCTTCATCATCATCCTCCTCAGAGTCATCCAGACTTCGTGGGAAACTTCGGCTGCTCATAGGACGTGGTAAAGAGCTGTGATCCAAGTCCAGGTCCTCCTGAGAAACACGAAGCCACCAAGTGAGGGGCAGGAACACAGACGACCCAGGCCAATAAGAAATGACATGTGCCATTTGCCTAGCGTTTCGTTGTGGCAACACCTGGCTATAAACCCCACACGTTTAATGGGCTGACAAATTTCCAAACCAATTTTAAAACCAACATGAATTTGTGAGCTTTTTGTTTGGACAGGAAAAAAACAAACCCAAAAAACCACATTAAAAACAAAGCAAAGCAAAGAAAGAAGTAAATAGAGAAATAGAGTATCACCTTGTTTTCATAAAGATAGAACATTTTAATTGATCTCAAGCAGGAAGCATATAATCTCAGAATAAGAATTTTGACCTAAATACAGTCTTGTGAAAAAACGGATTCATCTTTGTAATCACATTTCACTATGACAGGTGAAAACTTTGTACCTACTATGACTGTTCAGTACAGCAGCACACAGAAACCACTGTTTTACAGACTGTCTACTCATAGGAGTCCTGGTGTAATGCTGTAGGATAAACAATGGATTACAAGTTTGGCTTTAATTGCAAGGTCGATGGTTCAAACTTTCCAGTTGCTCCTTGGAAGCCCTATACAGGGCTCCTAGAAGTCAGAACTGACTCGACAGCACTTAACAACAACTCATTGGCAGTTTTTTTTTTTTTTTTTTGTAAATAACATTTATCTGATTCTCTCTACCTCACTTTACACTTGATTTTTGAAAGTTAATGCTAAGGCTTAATTCATATGGACGATATGGATTGAGAAATTAATGCTTTAATTAATTTTGATGATTTAAATATAGTATTTAACTATAAATGTTAAGCCTTTAAAGAGTGACTAATTTGAATCATTTAAAATCTGAGAAATCCTTTTTTGACCCTCTCATGAACCTTGTGAAATATATAACTAAGCAGGTCTCTTTGTTCAAGGTGACTACTAGGAAGCTTAGTGTCTCATTGGTAGCCCAATCTTTTAAGCAAAAATGTTTTACAGAATGGTCTTTTTAGCTTTATTTGGAGTCTAGTTTTGTTTGCTCTTTTTCCCCCCCCACATTTGTGCTAGCTTATTGCATTTTTGTGTATTGCTGTATTACATATCCATTTACAAGAGAAAGATGAGGCTTCCTGTTCTTGTAAAATTTACAGTCTTGGAAAAATGGTACAGGGTTGCTATGAGTCTGAATGGACACAATGGCACTTAACAACATATATCCTTTTTGGAATGAGCAGGGTACTAATGTATAGAACCATCAAAGAAATTGCCAAACTAGGTAGTTTATTTTACTACCAAAGTCCAGCTCTACTATGCTTTCTTAGCATTTAAGACTATATTCCCAACACCTATGTTTGTCTTCTGCATTAGATTATGATGGGTTCTGATGTAAGTGCAGGGATTTGCACAGCGTATACATGTGTGTGAGGGTGCTACAGGAGAAGAGGGACAGAGCGGGAGGGACTGACTTTCTCAATAGTCCACCACGTAATATGGTGTATGGTGTTTGATACATTGTAGGTGCTGAATTGAACCATGTTGTCACAAGGCGGACCCACCCTCTCTTTTTCCAAGTCGTCTCTCATCTGCTGGTGTTCATGTTCAGTCAGTTCTTGGTCTCCATCTTGGTCATACTTAGTGAATATGGCTTCAATCTCTGCATCAGTATGACCCTTCCTGAAATGATTGAGAGGGTATGGATGAACTCATTTGTGTACATAGTCCAACTCAAACACAGAGACATCAAAACATAGGAGGAAAGGAGACAAAGGCCAGTCCTCCTCTTATAATATATACCCAAAACACATCCACCTCTGCGGGAAAAAAAAGTATATGAATATATGAATATTTAGGCCAAAGATAACTCTGTCACCATGAATTTATCTTGAGACACAGGAATTTCCCAGGACCTCAAAAATATTATTCTTACCCTTTGAGATCTTGTCGAAGTTCATCAAAGTTTAACTTGCCTCCCGCTTGTCGCAGACTCTCCGAAATGTCATCCACAGTAGATTTTTTCAATTTTAGTTTAACCAAGGCTTTATGGTAGCCCTACCAAAACACAAGACTTGGTTTAATATAAGCTCAATTTGTATTTGGCTTTACCAATCAGCAACAGTAGCTACTGTAAGCTCAAGACCACAAGAGTGCTTGAGATAAACTGGTCACTCATCAAGTATGTGCTGAATGAATGAATGGGTACAAGTATGTTGGTTTCCTTAGAAGTCTTCTGGTAGACTTATATGGAAACAGGCAGGGTCTTTCAATAAATCAAGAAGAGTTAAAGGTCTTTTGCATACATATATATGGAATTGTGTGGAGGCCTGGAGGAGAAAGCACTAGACCACAAAGTTGGTTTGAATTACAAGGTTGTCGGTTCAAATTCACCAGTCATTCCTCTAAAACCCTATACAGGGTCTATATGAGTTGAAACCTACTTGTGGGCTAATGCGTCAGACTGCAAAGTCGTTTGAACTGCAAAGTCAGTGGTTCAAATTCACCAGCTGCTCCTTGGAAACCCTATACAGGGTCGCTAAGGGTCGGAATCAACTTGCCGGCATTTAACAACAATATATATATTCAAGTTTAGGTTACAGAAATAATATTTAAGCCATAATTTAGAGACACTGAAGTTATGGATTAAATATTTATTTTCTATATTATCTCACAATCAGTGACACCCTTACATATGGTAAATATGTAAAAAAAAAATCCAGAAAAATTGGGATAAGGATATTCACTAACACACTTCAATCAGATCTTACTTTGTATGGATTGTTAAAGTGGGCCTTCAAGATGAAATTGTGCAAAATGATCTTAATCATCCATCAATGGGAAAATCATAATTGTTCTATGACCTTAAATAATGTCTGTCAATACATGAGAAATTCCCTTAATGTTAATAACAAATTTATTAAGAAATTTAAAAATAGCAAAACTATTTGAATTCCTGGTGTTGTGATGTGGGTTAATGCACTGGAATGCAAGGTTTGTTTCCACTGCAAAGTAGGCAATTCAAGCACACCAGCCATTCCTCAGAAATGCTACATGATTCTGCTATAGGTCGGAACCGACTTGATGGCACTTAAAAAAATGTTGTTGTTGTTGTTGTTAAGTGCCGTTGAGTTGGCTGCGGCCCATAGTGACCTACACAGGTTTCTGAGGAGCGGTTAGTGAGCTTGAGCCGCTGACCTTGCAGTTCAAATTGACTTTGTAGTCCAGCACATTAACTGGCAGCACCACACCAGGACTTATTTGTTGTTGTTAGGTGCCATCGAGCTGGTACTGACTCATAGCAACCCTATGAACAACAGAACGAAACACTGCCTAGTCCTGAGCTAACCTCATAATTGTTGCCACACATGAGCCCATTGATGCTGCCACTTTCCCAATCCATCTCTCTGGAGGTCTTCCTCTTCTTCTCTGACCCTCCACCTTATCAAGCATGATATCCTCCAGCGACTGATCCCTCCTGACAATATGTCCTAAGTATGAAACAAAGTTTGGCCGTCCTGGCCTCGAAGGAGCACTCTGGCTGCACTTCTTCCAACACAGATCTCTTGGTTCTATGGGCAGCCCATGGCACTTTCAATATTCTCCTCTAATACCATAACTCAAAAGCATCAATTCTCTTATGGGCTTCCTTATTTACTGTCCAGCTTTCACATGCATATGAGGTTGCTGAAAATACCACGGCTTGGGTCAGGTGCACCTTAGTCCTCAAGCTGACATTTTTGCTCGTCAACATTTTAAAAAGGTCTTGTGCAGCAGATTTGCCTAATGCAATACGTCGTTTGATTTCTTGATTGCTGTTTCCACGAGTGTTGGTAGTTGATCCAAAAATGAAGTCCTTGACAACTTCACAATTTTTCTCTGTTGATAAGAATGTTGTTTATTGGTCCGGTAGTGAGGATTTTTGTTTTCTTTACACTGAGATGCAATCCATACCAAAGGCTGTCTTCTTTGATCATCATCAGTAATTAAGTCCTCTTCACTTTCAGCAAGCAAGGTTGTATCATCTGCCTATCGCAGGTAGTTTATGAGTCTTCCTCTAACCCTGATGCCACGTTTTTCTTCATAGAACCCAGCTTCTCAGAGTATATGCTCAGCATACAGGTGGAATAAGTATGGTGAACGAATAAAACCCTGACTCACACTTTTCTTAATTTTTAAACCATTTACTGTTCCCATGTTCTGTTCGAACAACTGCCTCTTGGTCCAGGTACAGATTCCTCATGAGCACAATTAAGTGTTCCAGAATACTCATACTTCACAATGTTGTACATAGCTTGCTATGATCCACACAATCAAAAGTCTTTGCGTAGCCATTAAAACACAGGTAAACATCTGCCACTTGGATTGGATTGGCCAAGTGGCAGCATCGATGGACTCAAGCATGGCAACAGTAGTGAGGTTGGCCTAGGATCGGGCAGTGTTTCCTTTTGCTGTGCATAAGTTCGCTATGGGTCCATACCGACTCGATGGCACCTAACAACAACAACAGCAACAAACATCTTTCTAGTATTCTTTGCATTCAGCCAAGATCCATCAGACACCAACGATATATCCTTTGTTCCACGACCTCTTCTGAATCCGGCCTTGAACTTCTGGAAGTTTTTTGTCAATGTATGCTTACAGTCGTTTGTTTCCGTATTACCTTGAGAAAAGTTTTACTTCCATGGGATATCAAAGATATTGTCCGATGATTTCCACTAGGTCACTTCTCTTTGAAATGGGCACAAATATGGATCTCTTCCTATCAGTCGGCCAGATAGTAGTCTTCCAAATTTCTTGGCACGGATGAATGAGTGACTCCAGTGCCGCCTCTCTTTCTTGAAAGATTTTAATTTTTATTCCATCAATTCCTGATGCCCTGTTATTTGCCAATTCCTTCAATGCACCTTGGACTTCCTCCTTCAGTATCATTGGCTCTTGGTCATATGTTGCCTCTTGCAATAGCTGAACATCAACCATTTCCTTTTGGTACCGTGACTTTGTGTATTTCTTCCATCTTCTTTTGATGCTTTCTGCATCATTCAATAATTTGCCCAGAGAATCCTTCAATAATGAAATCGAGGCTTGAATTTTCTTCAGTTCCCCCAGCTTGAGAAATGCTGAGTGTGTTCTTCCTTTTTGGTCTTCTGACTCCAGATCTTAGCACATTTTGTTGTAATATTCGAGCTGACCTTTGAAATTTTCTGTTTAGCTCTCGGACCTCCTCGTTTCTTCCATTTGCTTTAGCATCTCTACGCCAGAGAACAAATTTCAGTGTCTCTTCTGACATCCATTTTGACCTTTTCCTTCTTTCTTGTCTTAATGACTTTTTGCTTTCTTCATGTATGATGTTCTTGATGTCATCCCACAACTCTTCTGGTCTTCGGTCTTCAGTGTTTAATGTATCAAATCTGTTCTTCAGATGATCTCCAAATGAAGGTAGGATATATTCAAGGTCATATTTCCCTCTCGTGGACTTATTTTCATTTTCTTCATCTTCAGTTTGAATTTGCATATGAGTAATTGATGGTCTGTTCCACAGTCTTCCCAGGCCGCCTTGTTTTGACTGATGATATGGAGCTTTTCCATCGTCTCTTTCCACAGATGTAGTCAATTTGATGTCTATGTAGTCCATCTGGTGAGGTCTATGTGTATAATCATCTGTTATGCTGTCTAAAGAAGATATTTGAAATGAACAAATCATTGGTTTTGCAGAATTCTATCATGCGTTCTCCAGCATCATTTCTATCACCAAGGCCATATTTTCTAACTACTGATCCTTCCTCTTTGCTCCCAACCTTTGCATTCCAATCACCAGTAATGATCAATATATCTTGATTGCATGTTTCATCAATTTCAGATTGAAGAAGTTGGTAGAATTCTTATGTTTAATCCTCACTGGCTTTAGAGGTTGGTGCATAAATTTGAATAATAGTGTATTGACCGGTGTTCCCTGTAGGCACATGGATATTATCCTATCACAGACAGCGTTGTACCTCATGACTGATCTAGATATGTTCTTTTTGATGATGAATGCATCACCATTCTTCTTCAATTTGTCATTCCTGGCATAGTAAACAAATGTGGTTGTCAGATTCAAAATGGCCAATACCAGTCCATTTTAGCTTACTAATGCCTAAGACATCAATGTTTATGCCATCCATTTCATTTTTGACAATTTCCAATTTACCTAGATTCATATTTCATCATTCCATGCTCTGATTATTAATGGATATTTACAGCCGTTTCTCTTCATTTGGAGTTGTGCCCCATCAGCAAATGAAGGTCCGAAAGGCTTTACTTCCATGGGCTTTACTCCAGTCGCATCATCACGGTCAACTCTACTTCGAGGAGGCAGCTCTCTTCCCCAGTTGCATTTTGAGATTTTGAGACTATCCATATTCTCTGTTTAGGGTCCCGCTTTCTGTTCATTATCTTCTCCCTTGATGGTCTTAGGGTCCTCTGTTCCTGGAATGTTGGATTAACTACTCATCCTGTTTGTTACAAAAGGTCTACCTTTATAGTTGTGACAATTGCAATTAGTTATGATAATAATTATTCACTATTGAATCATAAGAATCGTATCCCCATCTCCTTTCACCAGACCCATCTAGACAAGATGAAAACTATTCAGTGGGGATTCTACCTTCCCTACACACTCTGAAACTAAACTCCCTCTAGAAATCTTGTAAGCCAGCCACTTTGTGCCTTTATAGCCTCCTCCCCTTTCCATTTTAGGTAGTCAGTGTCTAAGTTGCCCATCCCTATCAACAGTGTCTACAGAGGGGATAGCTTTGATTCTTAATGTGAAATCTTTTTCCCTCTTGGTATCAATATTCTTCTAAAACACCATAGTTAAAATGCATCAGTTCTTCCACAGTCTTCCTTATTCATTTACCAACGTTTACATGAATATGAAGTTACTAAAAATACCATGGCTTGGATCAGGTGCACGTTAGTCACTAAACTGACATATTTGCTCTTGAACACTTTTTATGAGGTCTTGTGCAGCAGATTTGCCTAATGCAGTACACTGTTTGATTTCCTCACTGCTGCTTCCATGACTGTTGATAAGAGGATCCAAGCAAAACAATGTCTTTTCTCCATCATGATGTTATTTATTGGCCCAGTGGTGAAGATTTTTGTTTCTTTACATTGAGGTACAACCCATACTGAGGGCTGTGGTTGTTAATCTTCATCAGTATTTTAAGTCAGCTTTGCTTTTGGCAAGCAAGGTTATCAACTGCATGTCACAGGTTGTTAGTGAACCTTCCTCCAATCCTGATCATGTTCTTCTTCATATAATCAAGCTTCTCGGATTATTTGCTCAACATACAGACTGGATATGTGAAAGAATACAACCCTGGTGCACACCTTTCCTGATTCTAACCATAAAGTATCCCTTTGTTCTGTTTGAACGGCTGCCTCTTAATCTATGTACAGGTTTCACTTGAGCACAATTAAGTGTTCTGGAATACTTATTCTTCACAATGTTTTCCACAGCATGTCAATGTTCTAAAAGTCTAAAGTCCTTGCATAGTCAGCAAAGCACATATAATCACCTTTTTGGTATTCTATGCTTTCAGCCAAGATCCATCTGACATCAGTAATGATACTCCATGTTTCATGTCCTGGTCTGAATCTCGCTCAAACCTCTGGCAGTTCTCTGTCAATGTACTGTTTCAGCAGTTTTAAAATTATTTTTAGCAAAATTTTACTTGCATGTGATATTAATGATATTGTCCATAGATCTCCACATTGTTGGGTCACCTCTCCATATTGTTGGGTCACCTCTCTTTGGAATGGGCACAAATATGGATCTCTTCCAATAAGTTGGCCAGGTAGCTGTATTCCAAATTTCTTGGCAGAGATGAGTGAGTGCCTCCAGTGCTGTATCAGTTTGTTGAAGTATTTCAATTCATAGTCCATCAATTCCTGGAGCCTTGTTCTTGTCCAATGCCTTCAATGCACCTTGGACTTTTACCATCAGTATCAGTAGCTCTTGTTCATATAATAACTCTTGAAATGGTTGAACATTGACCATTTCTTTTAGGTAAAGTAAGTCTGTATACTCCATCTTCTTCTGAAGATTTCTACATCATTCAATATTTTGCCAAGTGAATTCTTCAGTATTGCAAGTCAATTTGAATTTTTACTCAGTTTTCTCAACTTGAGAAATGCTGAGTGTGCTCTTTCCTTTTGGTTTTCTAACTCCAGGTCAATGCATGTTTCATTATAATATTTGACTTTGTCTTCTTGAGCTGCCCTTTGAAATTTTCTATTCGATTCTTTTACCTCCTCATTTCTTCTATTTGTTTTAGCATCTCTACACCCACATTTCAGAGTCTCTTCTGGCAACTATTTTGGTCTTTTACTTCTTTCTTATCTTCTTAATGACATTTTGCTTTATTCCTGTATGATGTTCTTGATGTCATCCCACAACTCTTCTAGTCTTCGGTCATTAGTGTCTAATGCATCAAATCTGTTCTTGAGATGAAGATGGGATATGTTCAAGGTCAAATTTTGGTTCTCATGGACATGTTTCAGTTTTCTTAATCTTCAGCCTAAACTTGCATATGAACAAATGATTGTCTTTTGCAATCTGCACCTGGCCTTGATTTGGCTGATGATATTGTGCTTCTCTATCATCTCTTCCCACAGCTACAGTCTGTTAGATCCCTGTGTATTCCACGTGGTTAGGACCATGTGTATAGTTGCCTTTTATGTTGTTTAAAAAAAAAAAAAAAAAGTATTTGCAATGAAGAAGTCATTGATCTTGCATAAATAATTCTACCATGTACCCTCCAACATCATTTCTGTCACCAGGAAAGTCTGATCCTTCTTTTTCTTTCCAGTTACCATGTTCCAATCACCAATAATTATCAGTACATCTTGATTACATGTTTGATCAATTTCTGATTGAAAAAGCTGGTAAAACTCAATTTCATGAAGTAATTGCTGATGTTAAGATGGATCTTGACTTAAAGCAGAGAATATCAGAAAGATGGTTACCTGTGTTTTACTGTGCATGCAAAGGCTTTGACTATGTGGATCATGACAAGCTATGGGTAACACTGCAGAGAATGAGTATTCTGGAAGAATTCACTGTGCTCATGAGGAACCTGTCTTAGACCAAGAGGCAGCTATTCAAACAAAAAAGGCAACACTGAATGGTTTAAAATTAGGAAATGTGTGTGAGTGTTGTATTCACTCATCACACTTATGTAATCTGTATGCTGAGCAAATAATCCAAGATGCTGGAGTATATGAAGAAATTGTGTCCTTAAGGTTGGAGGAAGACTGAATAAAAACCTGTGATATGGAGATGATACAACCTTGCTTGCTGCAAGGGAAGAGGATACCTACTGATGAAGGTCAAACACCACAGCCTTGGTTGCACCTTAATGTAAAGAAATAAACCCCCCCCCCCACAACTGGACCAAAAAATAACACCCATATAAATGAAGAAAAGGTTGAAGTTGTCAGAGTCCATTTTTCTCGGATCAGCCATTAACACTGATGGACGCAGCAGTCAAGAAATCAAACAATTTATGGCATCAGGCATTTCTGATGCATTGTTGTTGTTGTTAGGTGCCATCAAGTTGGTACTGACACATAACAACCCTATGCACAGCGGAACGAAACTCTGCCCGATCTTGGGTCAACCTCACTACTGTTGCCACGCTTGAGTCCATCGATGCTGCCACTGTGCCAATCCATCTCGCTGGGAGTCTTCCTCTTTTTCTCTGACCCTCCACCTTACCAAGCATGATATCCTTCTCCAGTGACTGGTCCATCCTGACAATATGTCCTAACTATGAGAGACGAGTTTGGCCATCTTGGCCTCCAAGGACAGGGCCTCTTTAAAACGTTTAAGAGCAAAGATGCATTGTTGTTGTTGTTGTCAGATGCCATCAAGTCAGAACCAACTCATAGTGACCCCATGCACAGCAGAACGAAACAATGTCCGATCCTGGGCTAACCTCACTACTGCTGCCACACTTGACGCCATCAATGACGCCACCTGGCCGATCCATCTTATTGGGGATCTTCCTCTTTTTCTCTGACCCTCCACCTTACCCAGCATGACATCCTTCTCCAGCTACTGTTCCCTCCTGACAATATGTCCAAAGTATGAGAGATGAAGCTTAGCCATAGGGCCTCTTTAAAACATTTAAGAGCAAAGATACCAGTTTGAGCACTAAGTGTGCTTGATACAAGCCATGGCATTTTCAAACCCCTCATATACATGTGAAAGTTGGACAATGAATTAATGCATTTGAGTTATGATATTGGAGGAGAATATTAAAAGGACCATGGACTGCCAAAAGAACAAACAGATCTGTGTTGGAAGAAGTACAGCCAGAGTGCTCCTTAGAAACCAGGATGGCCAGACTTCATCTCTCATATTTCAGACATATTATCAAGAAGGACCAGTCCCTGGAGAAAGACATCACACATGATAAAGTGGAGGGTCAGTGAAAAAGAGGAAGACCCCCAACAAGATTGATTGACACAGTGGTAACATCAGTGGGTTCAATCATTGCACTGATTGTGAGGTTGGAGTAACACCGGGCAGTGTTTCATTTTGTGGTGCATACGGTCTCTATGAGTCACTACTAACTCAAGGGTTCCTAACAGCAACAAACATTCTGAAGTAGGCTGCCTCTCCTTTCTCCTAGTCTCTCTTAGTCTAGAAGCTCAGCTGAAACCTGTCCACCCTGGATGTACCCTGCTGGTATTTAAAATACTGGTGGCATAGATTCCAGCATCCCTGCAACATGCAAGCCCCCACAGTACTACAGACTGACAGACTAATAGTGGGCCTGATAGGAAATGAACATGTTTTCATTCCTTGAATAGTTGTCATTCTCCTTTCAGTCTGAATAAACTTTTAACATCTTAAACTTTTGCACTTTCAATATTGCGAAATAGCTTTTAGAGAGTTTCGTTAATGTGAGGCACTTTTTCCCACAGAAGTCTCCTTAATGTGAAGTATTTTGTATCACTTCCTCTGAGACACTTTCATCTTGTACATCACAGCCACAATACTCATTTATGTTCGTTAGCTTATCTTCACTAAGGTCCGCTGGCTTCATATCTTGATTTACTGAGAGTCTGTCTAAAAGCAGTGTCTCAGATTCCCACAGTCATCTGGATCCTCTACAATGCATTTGCATTTAGCTTGAATTTCACTTCCAGTGTTCCCACTTTATGAGCCTCAGTGGCACAGCGGTTAAGTGCTCAGCCTCTATCCAAAAGATGGGGAGTTTGAATCCACTAGTTACCCTATAAGGAGCTCTGGTAGCGTAGTGGTTTTAAGTCGGGCTCCTAACCTCAAGGTCAGTAGTTTGAAACTATCTGGGAGAAAGATGAGGCTTTCTGCTCTTGTGAAGATTTGAGGGCACTGAACAACAGCAACAATTTCCTAAGATGCCTAAATAAAAATTCTCAGGCCCTTAGTCTACAGCCTTTTCCTTAACTATTTGGTAAGTTCCTTGGAAGGGCAAGGATAAAGAGTGAATGATCAAGTATTTTACACTCAAACTTTTTATTTTATTTTTAATGTATAAGAAGTTGTTGTTCTTAAGTATCATCGAGTCAGTTCCGACCCATAGTGACCCTGTATAGGGGTTTCCGAGGAGCGGCTGGTGAGTTTGAACTGCCAACCTTGTTGTTCAAAAGACTTTGCAGTCTAGTGCTTTAACCCACAGAGCCACAGAGGGTCCTGATATAGTCTTCCCTTACAGTTTTTCTGAACTCTGGATCTCTTAAGTGAGCGTATACTAGAGGAGGTGTGAAGACAAATAAAGGTGATGCAAACGGCAGTTCTGTTCGTCAATAGTCAAGAGATTATTGATAGAAGGGCTCCCCAGAATATAAATTCTAGGTAGCAGTATATCAAGAGAGAGTATGTTCAAATTTTTCCCGAAAGAGAAATCTACTTTTTATTTTGAACAGTTTCAATGGATCAGTGTTGACTAGGAAATCTGGGCAAAGCAATGCTCATTTTATGTAGTAAATAAAACAACGATGAGAAGTAGGTCTTTCATACCTTTTTGATAAGATCTGAGAGCTCCATTTCAGCTTTCTGCTGAGCCAAATCAGATTTAACTTCAGAGTAAGTATCATTGATGATGGCCAAAAACATATTCTGTTTGTAAATCAAAGATACAGAGAGATTAAGGAAAGGAATCTAAATGTATTTTTGCAATCATCAATTCAAAAATCTGGCACATGTTTTTTTTGTTCACCTTAATTATGATAATAATCACTGGGAAAATTACTTTCTCCAATAAATCATGTCAAAATATATTCTTACTTATTGTTTTAATACCATATACTGAGATACATTTAGTAAATAGAGCTAAGAATGAGATACATAACTGTACCTATGAATGGCAGGGTTGTTTTCTTCTTTTTGTTTTTCTCTAATTTTTACAATTCACATAAATTACGGTAAGTTTAGAACTCTAAAAAGCTCTTTATATCTCAGTACGCACAATTGTTGTTGTGAAGTGCCATCGAGTCAGTTCGGACCCACAGTGACCCTGTATAGGGTTTCTGAGGAGTAACTTGTGAGCTAGAACCACCAACCATATAGTTCAAACTACTTTGCAGTCCAGCACATTAACCCATAGTGTCACACCAGGACTTCAATAAGCAAAATGGGCAAATGGAATTCAATTCCTATTCCAAATATATTGTAATAGAATAATATTTAAAATTTGGAAAGTGTATTTCAAAGAATTGAAGACCTTTGCAAAAATCTCCACTGTGCTTAAAAATAATTAACAGGAATAAAGTCAGATCTAGGAAGTGAGTCAAGAAAAGTTCAATGGACAAACAAGCTTTGGAACCAGATAAATTTAGGTTTCAATCTTGGCACTGAAAATACTATATTGTCAACATTTATAAACCTTAATTTAAAGTCTATTTGTTTACTTTTGTATTTATATGTCAGTAAAACAATGGTGCTGTGGGCTAATGCATCAGACTGCAAAGTTGTTTGAACTGCAAGATCGGTGGTTTAAGCTTATCTTGGAAATCCTATACAGGGTCGCTATGGGTTGAAATCGACTCAACAGCACTTAAAACAACAGTGAGGATATATGTGATGTTCTGTACAAAGAGTTTAAGACAGGGCCTGATACATGTGGGAAGTGTTACATAATTAACAATTATTATTCAATAGTGGAGTTCTGGTGTGGTACTGTGAGTTAATGTGTTGTACTGCAAAGCCAGTTTGAACCACAAGATCGGCGGTTCAAGCTCACCAGTTGTTCCTCGAAAGCCCTATACGGGTTACTATGAGTCAGAACCGACCAGACGGCACTTGACAACTACTACTACGTATTCTAAATTCTCCTAGGTGCCTCCCATAGTCGTTCTTTAAACAACCATTTTGAAAATAATTTATACAGCAATTTCTAGTTAGTTTTAGATTTATTATTTAAATATCCTTTGAAGGCAGCCTCTAGATATGTGACATACAATTTACTTAAAACTGTATCTTAATTTTAACAAGCAATAATTTGCTCATATAATACACCTTGGATTTAGCTTGCTGTGTCCATTTTTACTGCTTAAAAAACGAAAGAGAAATGTCAACTCATGCATGCAAGTGACCATGGAAGTGCTGATAGTTGTGTTGGGAAACACATCTAAGTATATACTACTTTTTAGACAAAGCAATATTTTAGGTAACTAAAGTTGTACTTGATCTAACGGCATTGATTATTGTTGTTAAATGCCATCAAGTTGGTTCAGACTCATAGCAAACCTGTATAGAGTTTCTAAGGAGCAGCTGGTGGATTTGAACCCATTACCTTGCGGTTGGCAGTCCAGTGCTAATCCTACAGTGCCACACCAGGAGTTTAGACATACATATATGGATAAATGAAAGACCATGGAGAATGGGGGAGGGGGTGGCTACAAAGGCAAGAAGTGACTGGCTTACAAGTTTTCAAGAAGGAGCCTAGTTCCAGACGGGGCGGGGGAAGGTAGAATCTCCACTGAGTGGTTTCCAGTCTGTTGGGATGGGGCTGATGAAAGGAGATGGGGATAAGACTCTTGTGGTTCAATAGTGAATAACTGTTATCAGGACTGACTGTGAGGGTGGGAAATGTAAAGGTAGATGTTTTTTAACAAAAGGAGGGGAGTGACTGATTTTTCAGTCCAGGAGCGGAGGTCCCTGGGACCATCAAGGGAGAAGAGCAGAGTGCGGGACCCTACCCAGAGAAACAGTGACACCAGAAAAGGAGGCAGAGATGATGACGTGGACAGATGAAGTGACTGGGGACTCTGGACTCAGGGAGGGAGAGGGGCTGTGTGCTGACTGCTGGGGGGCAGGCCTGTGGGGATGCCCTTTGGTTTGATGATGCATGGAGGGGATTGTAATCATTATAATGAAACAAAATATGGTAGGATGACTATAAAGCTGATGTTCTCCTGTGTAAACTCACATAATTCACAATAAAATCTTTAAAAAAACCAAACCAAAAAAAAGACCATGGAGAAGGTATTTGGTAAAGACTTAAAACTGAATCCATGAAGAGGAAAATAGGGATAGAGCATAAGAGAAAAGAGATTGATGGTGATCTATGAACATAAAAGTTTAAATCCCTTACTGTAAATAAAAATGTACATACCAAAAGAATGAAGAACATAAAGAACACAAATGTAGTGAAATAAATTGGTCCCAAAACTCGATTAGCTTCCTCAATCTCTGCAAAGTTGATATCGCCCAAAATGATACGGAATTGAGTGAAGCTATAAAAACAAAACAAAATACCGAAATACAAAAACAAAGAATGTCCAGCAGTTGATGTAACATTTCTTTAAGATGATTTCACACTTTAGGATCATCTTAGCAATGTAGATAGCCACCATATACTAGAAAATTTCCAATCTCTATGAGAAACTCTTACTGATGATATAAATTGAAGCCGTCTGAAGGAAAAATAATATACTTTCAAGCTGAATATAATATTTCCACTTGGCAGAAAAAAGAAAACACAAATTATATGAAGTTATTCTGTAATGATACTTGAAGCAATTGACTTGACTATGATGAATTCAGTATGAAAGGGGCTCCAGAAAGTTTGTGGAAAAATTCCATTATCTTTTCATTCCATTTTTCCATGAACTTTTTGAAGTCCCCTCTGGGTAATACATGGTTATTCTAAATTTTTGCAGTGGTCACGCTGGGTCTTTTTTGTTTTATTTTCAAAGAAGATCTTTTCGAAGGATAGCCAAAATGTATGTCTTCAAAAGCCAGTAGACTCAACTGTACTCATTGTGGTTACTGTACTCATCAGTTAGTTCCAACTCACAGGGACCTGACACACAACTGAACAAACACTGCCTGGTCCTGCGCTACCCTCACAATCATTGCTACACTTGATCCAACTGTTGCTGCCACTGTGCCAGTCCATCTTGTTGGTGTCTTCCTCTTTGTCGCTGACCCTCCACTTTACCAAGTATGATGTCCTTCTCCAGGGGCTGGTCCCTCCTGATAATATGTCTGAAGTATGAGAGACGAAGTCTGGCCATCCTAACTTCTAAGGAGCACTCTGACTGTACTTCTTCCCACACAGATTTGTACCCTCTTCTGGCAGTCTATGGTACTTTCAACATTCTCCTTCATCATCATATACTCATAGTGGGCTCAAAGTGGTCAGGTGTTGCCAATGCTTGGCCTTAGCAACATCATGTTCATGTCTTACTTTTATCAAATGGCAGCATTAGTTAGGAATGCTGTGTGTACAATGTCCTGTTAACTTCCATTATTGTGATCTTTTCCTTCCCAGACAATTTTTTTTTAAATGGCATGGAAATCTAGCACTAGCTACTTTTTAAACTTGGAATGCCGTATTTGGGGACTTTGGAAGATGGAAAATACCTGAGTTTCTCCTAGAATAATCCTTCAGAACATAATGTGAAGTTCAACATATATGGAAGTAACATTTAATAGGAATAAAAATATAGATGAATGGTTTTTAAAAAGCTACCTTGTGTATTTGGTACAAAATAGACCTTGGTCTTTAGAACAGGGTTGGTTTCTTAAGGCTATTCTACTTTAGGGTGACCATCTTAAGCATTAGCAGTTCAGAATACATTATTGTTTCTTATTTGCATTGCCAAGGTCAATAGTTCTGGGAAAGGTTAATTATTTTAAAAAAATATTTTTAAACACTTGGTGGTCACATAGCAGACATGGAGGTTTCTTTATCCTTGATAAGATACTGACATCTGATTACATTTTTCTTAATTTTATAAATACTTACATACATTCTTGGAAAGTACTGAAGTCATCAACCTGAGTTCCAAAAACAAGATATGCCAACTGAGCGTAAGCTAAGAAAATAATGAAGAACATAATGGCAAAGCCAAAGAGATCTTTGGCACAGCGAGACATAGTTGTGGAGAGCTGGCTCATGGTCCTGTTAAAATTGATGAATTTGAAGAGCTATAAAAGAGAGGGGAAAAATGACTTGCTTTTTTCTCTGTTCTAGTTCTAAAAGCACTTGCTGAGCACCGGTTCAAAAATATGAGGGGACTTCAAAATGTTTGCGGAAAAATTCCGTATCTTCTGACTCCGCTTTTTGAAGCCCTTTCAAACATGGTCCAGGCACTGTTCTTGTAAGTTCCTTCTCTTACATGATTATTAAAACATATCAAAAATAGGTTCATTACAATGAAAATGACTAGTGATAGTCCCCCTCCCCCAAAACAATTACAGTAAAAGAAAACAACAAAGTAAAACCAAAACCCAAACACCAACCATTGAAAACAAAAATGAAAAAACCAGGAAGTACTTACTGCACCTTAACCCTGACATTTATTGTACTCCAGCTGTGTGCCAGGCACAACCGTGAGGCTTTATGTAAATGAACAGTACAGTGACCGAAGCCTTGGAATTACCTCCAGGAGTCTAATTGAGGCGTGTAGACAGTATTTGAACCTGTTCTATCTGACTCCAAAACCATATTGAGCACTTAGGTAGAAAAGGCACTGAAGATGGCCACCCAACTTGTACCGTCCACACTTCAGAGGGCATCACAACCTGCACACCTCTAGGAGTAAGCCGTGGTCCTCAGTGGACAGATACAGAAGGATTATAACAATCCCCGCCCCACTTTAAACAGCTTAATGGCAAAGCTTTGGAGACAGGATATTTATAAGTACAAAAACACACAACCTAAGTCATATATTGGAAGGAATTCTCTAGAATTTTACTTAAAAGTTCTCTTAAAAATGAATGCTTCTGGATGCAACAAATTTCTTTTTTGGAAGATTTTGTAAATCCCATTATTTAATATAATTTTTTTTGAGATCTGAATTTTTATTACTATTTTAGGATACAAAGTTTAGTGCTTTATTGATAGTTTCTCCCGAACACACATTTATTTAGTTGAATAAACAGGACGAGAGATACCAGAATGAAGTCGGTGCCCTCTGAACGATCTCAGGTTTTCCGGGTGTCAACACACCTGGTGAACACACTTGGTGTGCCCGTCAGAAAGTTCAGTAGAACTTTCTGTGTTGCTGGAAACGTTCTATACTTATAGTGTCCAATGCAGTCACCACTAAATATCACAAGTGGATATTTAACACTAAAAATGTTGAGTGTGGCACTATGGCTAAATGTGCAAGGACTGTAAGGTCGGTTTGAATCGCAAGGTGGCTGGTTCAAGCTCACCAGCTGCTCCTTGGAAACCCTATACAGGGTTGTCGTGAGTCAGAACCAACTCAACAGCACTTAACAACAAACAGCAAGCCTGACTGAGGAACTGCATTTGTAACTGACCGTAATTTTTATTAATTTTATTTTAAATAGCCACATGTGGCTAGGAGTTATGTCCGGAAGTGCAGTCATAGAGCCTGAGCTGGTGACAGGTTACTGTCATTGGCTGCATCTCCAGAACTGACGAGGCTCATTAGATCTTCACATACATGAAACTGTGCACTATGCCTTGTACAAGACGGAAATGAGCAATTAAGAAACTACATGAAAGAGGAGTCTGTTCCAATCTCAATTCAAGGTAAAGATACACTATTGCCTTCACCTGGAACAAAGGTACACTTTTCATTAAGTATTTCTAAGTATAGCATCTCTTGCTCCCCTCCCCCTTGTCCTCGCCCCCCTCCCCCTTTTTTTGGTCTTAGTTCCTTATTCTTTGCCTGGCCACCTCAAGTCAGAGGAAACTTGGACCTGTCTCTGAGGCAGAGCAGCCTGGGGCTCTACACCTAGCTAACATAATGACAAGGCCGCTTGTTGTATTTGCTAAATGACCTCTATGAACACATTGTCATTGGGTTAATTCCGACTCATAGCGACCCTGGATAGGGTTTCTGGAGGCTGTAAATCTTTACAGGAGCAGAAAGCCTCATCTTTCTCCTGCGGGGCACCTGATGGGTTTGAACTGCTGCTCTTGTAATTAGTGGTCCAGTGCTTACCTGACAGTGCCATGAGGGTTCCTATAAGGACACTTATAAGGACAATTATTGCAAGAATGTGGGCAGCAATAGAGCAGCATCATTCCCAGTGAGCTGAGAGATCACGTGAGCCCCAGTATTCTACTTTACATGTATAATATGGAGCAGCTTTTTGGATGACCACTTGAATTTATCCACAAAGGCAGATTCAAGTCCTCCAAAATTTCCCAGGACTCATGCTGATAAAGAGTAAGAAAACGATTATGGAAACAAAACATGCAACAGATAAATTACCTTAATCCAAACAAAAAATACTGTGACCGCAGCTACATTGTTGAATTGTATTTGCCAGTATGCCAGGTGTTCAAAGTTGGGGTAAGTATTTTGATCTTCCAGAAACTGTATCAGCACCTCCACATTTGATGTTCTATGTATGTTAATTCCTATAGCTACCACTGATAACTGCAAAACAAAAAGATGCTTATTTAATGCCTATGTATTAGACATTATGTTCCTTTAAAGTTGTTGTTATGTGCTGTGGAGTTGGTTCCGACTCATAGCGACCCTGTACAGGGTTTCCGAGGCTGTAAATCTTTATGGGAGCAGAAAGCCTCATCTTTCTCCCGCAGAAC